AGTTTCTCCCACGGGCCTCCTCACAGTTTCTCCCACGGGCCTCCTCAGACTTTCCCCACGGGCCTCCCTTAGAGTTTCCCCACGGGCCTCCTCACAGTTTCTCCCACGGGCCTCCTCAGAGTTTCCCCACGGGCCTCCTCACAGTTTCTCCCACGGGCCTCCCTTTAGAGTTCTCCCACAGCCCCGGGTCACCCCGGCTTCGGCTGGCCGCAGAGCCACCCAGGCCTGTCAGAGGCAAGGCCTGTGGGGCGGGTGCAGACTGTAAGGGACCAGGTCAGGAGCTACTCAGAGCAATTCTCAGAAGCACCGAGGGAGGCCCGCAAAACACCTGTCTCAGAGCCCCGAAGGGGCCTGTCCAGCAGAGGCAGACAAGAGGCCGAAGCAAGGATGATGAGGTCCATCAGGCCCAGGGAGCAGAGGGATGGACAACCCCAAGGCCGGGTCCCTAAAAGTCCCCATCCCCCTCCAACATCGCAGGCGTCTGTCCACCTGAGGTCCGCCTGCTGCTGCCCCCTCACCTTTCCATCGCGTACCACACCGCCAAGCTGTCATCTCGGAAGTAGTACCCGGGCAGGTCCTGGACCCCACGCTCCACGAAGTCATTGGGGATGCAGAGGCTTTTGTAGGTGAGCTCAGACAGAGCCCGAACCATCACCTGCGCGAATCCCTCTAGGCCCAGGGACATGGCCTTGAGGGAGGAGAGAACCACATGAGCCTCCCTCTGAGCCTGCTCTGCAAATGCTGCATCCTCTCAGCCCCTGCAGGACGCACCCCGACCCAGCCCGCCCAAAGTCCCGGGTGCTGCACCCCACACGGCAGCACTCACGCCCCCCTCCCCCACCCCCAAGTTCTTAAGCAAGTGGGGGTTCTGCTCTGAGGCTAACTGCAAAGGCCAAGGTGTCCTGTCGGAGTCGGGGCAAGAGTCTTACCCTGGCGGAGAGGCCCCCCTTGTTGAGAAGGAGGGCCCTCCCAATGCTGTTGATCTGGACGTTGTACCGGGTATGAGGAATGAGGAGCTGCGCGGGAGGCAAGGAGAGCGGTGAGGAGGGCTGACTGCGCCCAGAGACCTTCCCTCACTTTGGGAAGCCCTTACCACAAGCCCCCTTTCGGGATCCCCAGATCCTCCCCGGGCTCGCCGGACCCCCTCCCTGCCCACAGAGCTTTGAAGACCCCCTTTCCCAAGCTGTACCTTGTAGAGGGGGTGGCACATGGGCAGATTCCTCAGGAGGGCCAGGCAGAAGGCCTCCCCGATGAGGTGGCTCTCCAGCAGGTGTGCGATGGCCTCGTGACTGTAGAACTCAGCATAGCGCACCCATGTTTTCGCCAGCAGCCAGTCCCACTCGGAATCGTTTGGCAGGAAGATGGGACAATCAGGTCCAGGGGTCTGGCTGAGCTGGGGGTGGGAACAGGGAGGCCGGTGAGGGAAGGAAGCAAAAGCGTTCTGAACTCCAGCCCCTCTGTCTTTTGAGCATCCCAGGGTCCTTCTTCCCTCCCGGCACTCGTTCTTGTTGCGCCCTGGGCCTGAAGTATCTTCCTGGGCCTGTCTCTCTACCAGGCAGCTCCATGAGTTCGAGGCCAGCCAGGTATACAGAACAAGTTCTAGAACAGATAGTGCTACACAGAGAAACCCTGTCAAGAAGAAGGAGGAGGAGGAAGATGAGGACAATGAGGAGGAGGAAGACGAAGAAGAGGAGGAGGAGGAAGAAAAAGAAGCAGCAGCTTTGGCCGGCATGGTGGTACTTTGGAGGCAGAGGGAGCTAACTCTGTGACATCCTAGGCAGCCTAATCTAAATAGTGAGTTCTAGTCCAACCGGAACTAGACAGTAAGCTCCGGCTGAAGGAAGAGGAGGGGGAGGAAAGGACAGGGATGGGGAGGAGGAGAGATAGAAGAAGAGGAGGAGAAGGAGAAAAGAGTCAGGAGGAAAGGCGGCAGCAGGGGGAGGGGTGCCGGCTTAGAAACTCCCTCCTCTGATAATCCACAGTGTTCACAGCCAGCAGGTCAGGCCCTGTACAAGATCAAGGGTGCCCAGCCCCTGGGCTTGGGAGGAAGGGGAAGCTATGCTTGAGCTCTGGCCTATGGTGTTGCACTTAGCAGCCAGCTCATCAGGGGTTGGCTGGCACCTCCAGAGGAGAGCCTTTTTCTAATTCACAAATACCCTTGTGAGGATCCATGAGGAAGGGACCCCTCAGGTTCGTGTCCTGCCAGACTAGACCGTGAGGAGGCTGCTGAGCCCAACCCTCAATACTGCAGCAGAGGCTGAATGATGCCAACAAGCCAAGCTCCAACCCCCTGGCCCACACACATCTGGACATCTCTGTGCACACATTCACGGCCCCAAATTCGTGTTCAGGCACCAAATCTAACGGCAACACCTAGATATGCACACGTAAAGAGACGGGTTCTCAGCCCCAGGCTCCACGTGGCCGCGCGAGCAACAGGCCATGCTCTCGGACACAGACACAGGTGTACACAGGACTTTAGGCACGCACACATGCTGACACGGACACGCACCTGCCCACGTACAAGCACGGGGCTTACAGAGGGACACCAGCGCGCCAGGCCCGCGCGGCAGCCCCGCCCCGCCCCCCTCGGTACCTGGATGGCAATGGGCATCATGTTGCCCTCCGGGTTAAAGTACAGCAGGCAGATGGGGGCGCAGTGATGCTGCTGCTGCCCGTTGAGCTCCACGGTGGGGATGCCCTCCAGGATGCGGTAGTCTGCCAGGTAGATGTTCCCCTTCTGGAGGGGCACAGTGGGCGAGGTTGCTCAGGGAGGGCACCTACGCCCCAGGAGGGCGCCGTGGCTGGGTGGGGGCGGGGAGGGGGAGATGCAGGCGTGGGCGAGACAAGGCAGTGGGCCTTGTCGATGGAGAGGCCGAGAGATGCCTGAGTGGAATGCAGGGAGAACGCCCAGGGTAGCCAGAGAGGGCCTCACCTCCAGCTCTGCTTGCAGGCATGTCCCCTCCTCCAGGAATGGGGCCACCATTTCGTCCGTAACCGGGAATTTGTCGGGGATCTTTGTGCATCTTCGGATCAGGCCGGGGTTGAGGCCATTGAGGTACTGGTACCCAAAGAAGCTGTCCTCATACCAGTGCTCCGCCACGTACTCTGGGACAGTGCGGGGCCACAGTGAGACCAGCCCTCTCTCGGGGGTGGGGAGACATAGCGGTGGGCATCGAGCTATCTTGAAATGGCCAGAGGGACACGGGATGATGATTTTCAAGAAGCCTCAGAAAGGATGCGCCTGCCGTTCTCAAATGACCCTTTAGTTGCTCCCACTAGAGCCCACTGACCCCCGGGAAGGGGGTGCCTCTTGCCCCTGGGACCACTTGGCTGCGTTGTGTTCTATCGGGATCGTCCAGCCCATACCAGAGACGACAGACTTGGTAGCAGGGAAGATATTCCTGATGTCCTTTAGTCTCTTCCAGGACCGCTTGCGATCCACCAGGCCGCGCAGCTTGAAGGCCAGAGCCCTGGAAGGCAGAATCGAGGAGCAGAGTGTCAAAGGGGTGCAGGGTACACAGGAAAACGATGGGGTTCACCTACTCACTGGGGTCCCCGGGACTCAAGATCCCATGTCTCAGGGTCTTTTTGTCTCTAGGTCTGCGAGGAGTGTCAGGCTTTCCGCCCTGGTTCCCAGCTCCCCCAGCCTCTCTGACCGGAAGCCATCCTGAAGGAGGTAGGCAGGGAGGGCAGCCTCGAAAGCACACTCTTGCACACTCACATCGGCCCCAGGCGGTAGAAGAAGGAGGCCGTCTTGATGAAGGAGAAACGGAGATTCAGGTTTAAGAACCTGGTGGCCTTGATGTTGATGAGAATTGGGAAGCCCGGAATGTAACCATTCCACCTGTGGGAGAAGAGAAGGGCTGGAGCCTGGCACCGCTGTCCAGGGGGCAGGGTCGGGGGGGGGGGGGGCAGGCCAGCCTCTGGTCCTTACTCAGGCCGGTTTCGGTTGCGGCACCGCCGGGCAGGAGGGTGATAACTGGGAATGTCCACGTAGTTGGGGAGGCCAGGAACGAAGACCCGCCAGCTGCAGAGAGACCAAGCTCGTGGGCCGACACCCAGGCGCCACGCCAGGAAGGGCAGAGCCACCCAGAGCCACCAAACCCTGGACCTCCCCGGGCCTCCTCGGGCCTCCTCAGGACCCAGGTCCTTCCACCCTGCCACTCACTGGTAGAAGTCCTTCTTGGCTCTGATCTCTTCTTGTCTGTGTTCCAAAAGTATAGGGAGTGTGTCATCTGCTGCTGTCTTTCCTGTAGTGAGACGAGGCGGGGGGCGGGGGGAGGCTCAAGCACCGTCCCTCTCCCCTGCTCTACCCTCAAGTCCTCCACGAGATCCCTCTTCTAGACCCACTGAGATAGTGAGAGCCAGTAGCGCTGGCGAGTTCACTAAGACGGCGCTGTCTAACACACTGCGTTTACAGTAATAATCTAACGTGCACGAGAACAACCTAACGAGACGGGTGAATCACCCTCTCCACGAATCCAAACCACGAGTCTGCAGGAATCAAGTTTGTTTCACGACAAACTCATTGGTTGGGTTCTGAATTCACCTGAAGCTACATGCAGGTTCTGTTTGTGTGTGACAGGCTTTCTGTGCGTGTTCCAAGCTGCTCTGATTCAAGGTCTTCTTGCCTCATCGAGGGCTGGAGTGCGCACCGCTATCCATGTTAGAGACATGTGAGGTGTCTCTAACTCACCTCACATGACTATATCCATTAGAAATAAGAGCGCGTGTAGCACTAGGAGCACCCTAGTGATAGAAAGTTCACATAACATGCGCGCGCATATGTGTGTGTGTGTGTGCGCGCACGTGTGTGTGTGTGTGTGTGTGTGTGTGTGTGTGACACATTTCTAGTCTATGAATCCAAAATTCTTCAAAATCTAAAACTTCATGGTTGGCTATATCTAAAACTTCCTCTATGCCAATAGAATGCTACAAGCGGAAAATTCCACACCATGGCCTCATGCCACGGTAAAAAAAAATGCAGGTATGCTAAAATGTTGTATAAACACCTTCAGCCTATGTGTACAAGGTGTAAGTTAACGTAAAGAAATTTGATATTTAGACATGAGCCTTTTCCCCGAGTTAGCAAATATATGCAAATAATTTTTAAAAATCCAAAATACTTTTCTCCCAACCCTTTCAGATAAGAAATGCCCAATCTGTAGATAGAAATATAAAGATTTTTTGTAAATGTATGTGTCTGAGGCTGAAGGGATGGCGCAGAGGTTAAGTGCGCTTTCTCTTCCTGCAGAGGTCCCAGGTTTGGCCCCCAGCGCCCGTAGGACACTGTCTTCTGGCCTGTTTGGGTACCAGGCATGCATCTCATGCGTAGACATTATACGCAGGAAAAACAGCCATGATCATAAAACAAAAATAGACAGATATTTCAAAGAAAAGTGCGTGTCCCTATATTATACACATAGAGGTACATGTACGCACAGGGGTATTTACATGTGTGTAGCTTCTAAAGAAAAACCTAAATTTCACAATACCTCTGGCCCTAGCAGTTTCAACTAGACACTGTCCCGTCTTGTCCATTTTACAAGGGGGACATGACATGACATGGGGAAAAGGCAGCTGGGCTCTGATCTGGTCCGAGGCAGCCCCCCCCCCCCAACACCAGTAACAACCGTGAGAGCTGAGCCTTTTTTTTTTCCCCCTTAGGTGTAACATCACTGGATCCTCGCATCGCTGAACGAGCTCTGTTGTTCGCTCATTTTACAAACGAAGGCGCCAACACTTAGAAGAATACAGAAACGTGCCCAGATGTCTGGAAAATGAATGACTGAGACAGAGAGGAAACGGCAGCCATCTCCCTCCAGGCTGGTGCGTGCCCATCAGGACAGCCCCGGCCCACCGTTTCTCTCAGGGCCCTCACCTTGCTGTACTCATCTGACTTCTGCATGCCTGGGGTCCTTCTGTTGCACTCTGGGAATGGTGCCCCCTGGAGTTGCGAAACCCAGATCCCCAACTTGGTTCCATCCCAGGGCGGGAGCCTCACTCCTTCGAGGCCCAGCAGATGAGTCACGTCTCCCTGCCCTGGTGCAGCCACCCCACCCAAGCCCGTTCTTGCCTAGCCAGCTGGTGTCACCTGCCTGTCCCCTGCCCGTCCCCTTCCATGCCACACAGACCGATCACCATGGGGAGGTCCCCGCTGTCCCCAGTGTCTCTCATGATGACATCCTTACCCTCCCCTAGACCTGCCTCCTCAGCCTCAGCCGCTCCTTTCCCCTTGGCTCGGGCCCCACTCCCTCCTCCAAGGAGAATATTCTAGCACAGGGAAGTGAATGGGTAGTCTTTTACAGAGAGGGCGGGCTCCAGACTCCAGCATCCTCGGCTGCTCCCCTTGCCGCTTAGGGAGACACTCAAGTGTGGCCATGCCACAGCTACACTTAGAAAGCTCGCTCAAGGATCCAGGTGAAGGCCATGTGCGGCAAAGATATTCAGGTCCTTTCTTTCTCCCTTAGGAGCCACCACGCAGTCCCCCCAAAGCAAGGCAGCATTGCTATGCTACGGGTCTGTCATCCCCTCATCCAGGAGAAGCCCGGAAGCCTGCATGAATAGCAACATCTCCTGTAGAAGCAGGGCGCACCCTTGCTGCGCAGAGGAGGCCTTTGGGGTAGCAATGAACCCTGTGAGGAAATTAAGGTGTCTCACTGGGGTAACGGAGTCCTTTGGAGCAACATAATGGTTCGTGTGTGTGTGTGTGTGTGTGTGTGTGTGTGTGTGTGTGTGTTCAGCTAGGAAACCACTAAGACTATAGCTCAGTTGTAAAGTGCTCACCTACCATGCATAAGGCCCTAAGTTCAAATCTCTAGTACCACAAAAGAAGGAAAATCAGCCCAATGGGATTGGTTGGTTGCTGCTGACCAGTGGTGGCACACGCCTTTAATCCTAGCACTTAGGAGGCAGAGGCAGGCAGATCTCTATGAGTTTGTGGCTAGCCTGGTCTACAAAGCAAGTTCTAGGACAGCAAAGGCTACACAGAAAAAAACCTATCTCAAAAGAGAGAGAGAGAGAGAGAGAGAGAGAGAGAGATTGGTTGCATGGATGTGGGCCCTTTCCGCCCAGCCAGATGACAGAATTTGATCACCAAGATTCACCTGGAAGCTGAGTGGTAGCACACACTTTTTGTCCCAGCACTGGGGAGGCAGAAGCAGGCAGATCTCTTTGAGTTCAAGGCCAGCCTGATCTACAAAGCAAGTGCAGGACAGCCAGGGCTCTGTTACATAGAGAAATCCTGTCTTGAAAAACAAAAACAAAACAAAACAAAGAAAAGTCACAGAGTAGAAAGAGAGAGCCAACTGCCACAAATTGTCCTTTGACTTCCACGGCCACACACACACAAAGAAAAAAGGCGTCAGTGTCGTATACAGGGCTTGGTGTGGCCTGGAAGCGCACGTCTTTAATCCCAGCACTCAGGAGGCAGAGGCGGGAGGATCTCTCTGAGAGCTCCAGGACGGCCAGGCGTATAGAGAGAGACCCTTTCTCAAACAAGCAAACAATAAACCCATAAGCAATGCCTCGGTGAGCTGGAGAGCTAAGAAACTAGCTTCTGAGTAGAACTCAGATCCGGCTGGAGCAATGGAGGGTCCTGCTGTAGAGACAGAATCCTGCTCTAGAGAGTAGCAGAGGTCGTTGCAGCACACCAGGCAGCCGATGGGAGTCAAGGGCTTGAAGCACAGAGAGGAAGGGTGATCTGGGGGTGCTGTCCTCTGCACGATGCTGCCTGTGGTCCCTGGCCTCACAGGCTGAGCTTCCTCCAGGTCCCTGGCCTCACAGGCTGAGCTTCCTCCAGGTCCCTGGCCTCACAGGCTGAGCTTCCTCCAGCATGCGGCCCCACGCTGGGCCCAGAGCATCAGCAGTGACCAAGGCTGGCAAGAGATCCCTGGAGTTCCTCGAGCCTGATTGGCTCGATAGGATCCTGGAAGGACAATCTAGAGCAGCTGGGCTAGTGTGAGGCGACTCACCGCACAGGGTCGGGTGCTTGGGGCTGGCTCACCTGTGGCCTCCCGGAGGGAGAGGGTCTCATAGCCGTCCATCCACTGGTAAGCTGGGAAATGGTAGACTCGGCAGCTGGGGGCACAGATCTGCACGTAGTTGCAGTACCAGGGGTCCTTGGGCAGGAAGGAGTGGGGCTCCTTATGCAGGCGGATGATGATGAGCTCCCCCAGGTCCTGAGAGCACTGCACCGTGTACTCATCCACCTGCACAAAACGTGGCGGCTGAGTGACTTGACCCGTGCCACCAGGCTTACCTTTTACCTAGGCCCTGCTCACGTCAGCAGCACTCACCTCCTGGACTGGCATGCACAAGAGCAAAGGTAAAGAGAACTCTCTAACTTGGCTGCCCTCTGCTGGACCCATCTACCCAAGGCGGGGAAGGAACCCCAGCCTTAGCTATCCTTCCCGATCCTAAGGTCATGCCCCCAGCTGCCGAGCCTGACCATGTAAAGAGAAGTCAAAGCCCAGGACTTCCTGACATCCCACAGTCCTAGAGTTGGAACATGGGCCCCTCCAGGCCCTTCTCCCCTTTCTCAAGGAAGATGTAAGAATTCAGAAGCGGCCATGCAGTTGGAGGAGGCTATTCAGGTCACAGAGGAGCAGATGTCTATCAAAATCACAAAGAGTGGCTTCCATCAGGTAGAAGCAGGTCCCCACTGGCCAGGCTGGTTGGATGCCATTTGTAGGCACAGGGCGTCCAACGCAATGGAAGCCAGGTGTGATGCAACTCAGCTGAGAAAGAGTAAGAATGGGAGAGAGGTGATGGAAAGGGGTGAAAATGGACAGGACCTTCAGGAGTGGAAGACAGCTGAGAGAAGAGGATGAGCTCGGAAAGCAGAGAGGGAGAAAGGGAGAGGAGGGGGAGAAGGTATCGGTTGGAAGGGATGAGAGAAGAGAGAGCTGAGAAGGTAAGAGGGAGAGGTAGGGAGCCCACAGCATCAAAGATACTCCTGGTTCTCCACTCCCCTGGCCCAGCTCTGTCTGTCTCCAGCACCCCCCTCCATCCTGAGCCTCCATCCGTCCTGAGTGACACACGCACACGCACGCACACACACACTTACCGCCCCGGTGGCAAAGTCCCTCCCAAAGTGGTTCAACAGCTGCTTGTGACTCTCTCCTTCGGTCCCCACAATGGTCAGTGAAATAGAGTCCAGTGTCCCCGAGAAGAAGTCAGTGCCCGTGGCCACCTTGACTTTGTAGGTGGCCATGGCCGCTCTTCAGGAGGCAAGAGAGGGCTCAATCCTGCACACTACAGCTGGGGCCACACTGTTAGAAACAGGGCAGGCAAGGAAAGCCAGGCAGGGAGGAGTTGACTGGAGCGGTGGAGCCGTCAGCGGGACCCGCTGTCGCTCGGATGCCTCTGGAGCCGGGAGCAGCTGCTGCCCTCGCCGTGAGCCGGGCAGGTGGGGCGAGGCCGGGCCACTGGCCGGTGAGCCGCAGTCTGCGCTTGAGCCCTCTGGGAGCCGATGGGAGGAACCGCAGGCAGGGCTGGGTCTGCCCCTGAGAGGGCGGGGAAAGATGCTGCGGCTGAAGCAGCCTTCGGGGTGTGGGAGCTGTCCGGGCTGAGCGAGGGCCCCAGGGAAGTTGGGGGAGGGGGCGGGGCAGGCCCTTCAGATCTTTATCAAGCTAATAAGCTCCTTCCTCCCGGTCGCCCCCATTGGCTGCAGCGCCAGGCACCCGTGCTGAGCCTGACCAAAAGTCAGAGTGACCTGCTTTGATGAGGCCTGAGGAGCGATGCAGATGTCCAGAGTCCTCGAGAGGGGCTCCCGCTTTTGCATTAGAACCCAGGATCTGCAGTACAGGAAGGATACTGAAGCCAGGGACTAAAGACCGCAAGGGATTTGTGACGCCCTAGAGAGCTACAGGGACGAGAGAATTTGAAGCTGGAAGCGGGTATCTGTTGCTTCCTTTCCAGCCAGCATCTGCTTAAGAGAGACCGATGTTGAATACACTATTAGAGGACAGCCGAGCGAAAAGTTGAGTCAGGAGAAGTAATCCAAGGGGCTGGGATGCTGTTCAGTGGTTGGAGAACTTGCAGAGAATGCGGGAGACACCGGCTTCAATTTCCAAACCCCAAAAGGAAAACTTAAGCTCAATTCAGGCATGGTGGTGCACATCTCCAATTCCAGCTACTTGGGATGCTGAGACAGGAGCCTCTAAAGCCTGAGCCACACTCAGGGAGAGTACCATCTTAATAAATAAATAAAAGAGCTAAGTTGTTTTTAAAGTTCTTAAAGTGGCTGTGCAGCACCTTGGTGCCAGGAGCCTGCAGAGGCTGTAGGTGGCATTAGAACTCCTGGACTGGAGTTCTAGAAGGCTGTGCGCCACCATGCAGGCACTGGGACTCCAACCCCAGTCCTCCGGAAGAGCAGCTTTAACTGCTAGGTCATGCTGACAGATTAAGATATTTTGTAGATGAATGCCCTAGAGATGATGTGGAGTGAAAGATGCCATAAATTCAGACCCGAAATGCTTTCTTACTCTGTTGATCCAAAGCTCCAGGACAGACCAGAGCTTTTACACAGTTCAGACTCGTGAGTACTTTCAGAATGGGGAAGCCATGTAGGCAGCTAGAGTGTTCTCTCAGCTGGCCTGGCTCATACATGGTACACCTGGTGTGTTTTCACTACATCTATGCTGTCAATTGTGTTAAAAAATAAAAATACCCTTACCAAGGAAGTCTAAAAAATACAGAGAGAGGGCTGGAGAGATGGCTCAGTGGTTAAGAGCACTGCCTGCCCTTCCAAGGGACTCTGGTTCAACTCCCAGCACTTACATGGCTGCTCACAACTGTCCGTAAGCAGTTCCAGGTGGCCTGACACCCTCATATCAATGCACATAAAACAAAATCAAATAAGTTGGTTTTTAAAAAATGGAAAGAATGTGCTGGTTATGATGGTTCACGCCTGAGTTCTGAGAGCGCACAGTTCAGAGGTTGGTGGGGTCACCTGTAAGTCTAATGTCCCCCCACTCACGTGGCCCGAGGAAAGAACTGACTTACAAAAGCTGGCCGCTGACCCCATACATGTAGTACGGCACACACTCTCACATACATGTACGTACATGCACTTCAGTTTAAAGAAAAAATAAAGCTAGAAAGAGCTGGAGTGAGAGTTAGGAGCCAATAAGGACTGAGTTTGGTCAGGAACTGGCCATCCTCGACCTCCCTCTTTCTCTCACTTCCACAGGCAGAGCATGCTCTTCTGAACACCACAGACTCAAGGGGTCAATGTCCAAGAGGAGGACAGGACCAGCAAGCTTATTTATTCATGTAATTTTGGATATTAAATGATCTGGAGAAAATACATCTGGACCAGGGAGCCAGGGCTAGCTTCTGATGAAATCATAGCAGCTGGAGTGAAAAAGAACTGGAGACAGGTGGCGCCCTGGGGTTAAGGGGCAGGGGTCTGAGCAGAGAGGAGAAGCAGCAATGGGAGAAGACGGGACTCCTATTCCCACCAGATACTGAGACCCAGGGACCCAGGGAGAGTGAGGAGAGAGTCACGTCCAGGTCTTCTGGAACTAGCCTCTTCCGGTCCACCTCCCGGGGCAGCGCCTGCCAACCAGGAAGTAGCAGTTCTGGTTTCGTCTCCGGTGGCACCCTCCTGTCACCATCAGGGAAGGTTACACAGTGACCATGCCAATTTAGGGACAAAGAGTCCGAGTCTGAGACAGAGAGCAGGTACCAGTAGTTCCGGATTGGAAGAGGGAAGGGGCTGGGACTGCAATTCAGGGTTAGTTTAGAAACAGGAATGTGGTTGGGGCCAGGAATGGAAATGACTTTTTCATGACTCAAATCTGCTTGTGTCACCCGGTGCTCCCCTCCGTGTCTCAACAAGCCTGGCAGCATCTTTCCCCTGGCCTTTGGGATAATACCATGTGCATTTTCTTCATTCACCAGCCCTGCTGAATGCCCAGCTCTGTACCCAACTTGGAGAACATAGTGTAACCAAAACAAACACTAGAACTAACATTCTAATGAGGAGAACAGATAACATTACATAACAGCCGAAGAAGTTTAATGATGTTAAGTGGTAGTGAGTGTTGAAGGGGAAAAATAAGTCAGGGAAGGAGGACTTGAAGTACAGGGGTTGGGGGCTGCCTATTAGGCCCAAGCTCTGGATTTGATCCCCAGCACAAAAACAAACAAACAGACAAGCAAACCTGGGGCTTTTCTAAGGAAGGCTAAACTTAACTATAAACAGTTCTCGCCGCTATGGTCAGGCTTTGCTTTGTGTCCACCTACCCTGCTTGAGTATGCAGTCTGCAATTTGTTTGATTCGGATTTCTCCCATCTCTTGACACAGTTCCTGATGTCAAGGAGGCTCTTGAAACACGAGTCTTTGTATTTTTTTTTTAAGTCTTATTTGGTTTTAATCACAAGGGGTTCCTCTGAAGCCTAGGGTGTTGGATGCACCAGGCACAGGTGGTTTTGAGACATCTGACACGGGTGCTGGGAATCAAACTCAAGTCCTCTGGGAGAACAGTCCACACTCTTAACCACTGGGCTATCTTTCCTGCCCCAAAAGATATCTTTCCTTTCCTACAGAGTAAGTTCCAGGACAGCCAGGGCTACAGAGAGAAACCCTGTCTTGAAAGCCAAGAAGAAGGAGAGGATAGAATGCTGAAGATGAAGGTCATAGCCCAACTTCTGGATGACTGGCAGGCTGTCTCGCTCCCTAGGCATGAGGCCACCCTGGGCTGAGGAAAGGAGCTGTCTGGCCAGTCTGGCCCACCCTCCAGGGCTGGCTCAGCCACCCTCATGACTCTGGATGCTGAGAACCTGAATATGCAAATTTGCATCTCCAGAACAATCCACGAAAACTTTCCTAGCCTCCTGCTTTCCAGCCACGCCTTACCCTGGAGACTATGCCTCCAGGGGGCTGCTAACGAGGGTGCTGGGAGGGATAAATTGAGACTCCAGGACTTGGGAAATATCATCCCAGGCCCCTTGGGGATTCCAGAATGTGGGGCGTTGAGGGTAAGAGGCCCAACTAATCCAGTAGTAAGAGGGATGAGCGAGAGTGAGGAGGCAGGGGCACCTTAGGAGAGGGCTTGGGAGGGAGACAGAATGTGAGGTGGTGGCCCACGCCTTTAATCCCAGCTCTCAGAGGCAGGTGGATCTCCAGGCCCCAGGCCAGCCTGGTCTACCCAGGAAGACCCTGTCTCATAAATAAATAAATAAATAAATAAATAAATAAATAAATAAATAAATAACCAAACAAACAAACAAACAAATAAATAAATCCCTATAAGCCAACCCATTAACCTCAAAAGCTGAAGTGACCGCTCTGGGTTTGCTCCAGCATCAAGCCTCGGGTGGAGCTTATATTCCTCAGGAGAAAAAAAGACAGAGATGGGTGAGAGCATGCGTGGGGCCAGGACCGTGGGGCCAGGACTGGAACCGGGGACTCGGATTGGATGAGGCAGAAGGATGTGGTGGACGCTCCCAGCTGTGACCCAAACTCAGAGGCGAACATAACTCGGGTAGGCGCTCGCTGAAGAACTGGTTCTCCTGGACCGGGGTGGGACCGCAAACGTGAGAGCTTGGGATAGACGCAGGTTTGCAGTGGAGGCTCCTGACACCCACCTCCCCTAGGAGCTGCAGCCTCACGCTTGGGGCACCCCCACCCGACCTCGCCCCACCCAAGCCTGAAAGGTTGGAAACAACCCCTGGGCCACAGAGAACAAAATTGAGTCAAATTAGTCTCTTGCTTAAAGAGCACCCTCCTTCTGATCACCCCAGTGACGCGTGTGGGAGGTGGGCATTATGACGTCTTGCTGCATTGGCCTCCTCTCTGTCCCCAGAACCTGCATCCTTGATTTGGAACCTCTCCCCACACTGTTCTGAGAGTGGTTCTTGTTTCGCTATCCTTTACCTTCTAGGTCTCATTTCCGGTGCCACCTGCTTGGGAGACCGCAGCTGGCCACCGCCTCTCACGCCCCCCTACCAGTCACACCAGAGCCGGCCATCCAGTGACGACAGCCTTTGCTGACCTCTGAAGGACTCCCCTGTCGGGGTGGGTTCTGCCCATCTCTCTGCCACCCGAAAGCAGGCGTCAGCCCGGGGGAATTCAGAGCAAAGGCAGGGAGACAGCCATGAGTCAAGCAGATCCTAAAATGCCCGGCCGGGGAGGGACTTTCCAGGGCTTCTTCCAACTCCCATTTGTCTGACAGACTTGGACCTCTGGAGTGGGAAACTTGCCCCAGGCTAGCGAGGAGGAGACTGGCATGTGTCTTACTGTGACAATTAGCCTTTTCGGCTGACGGGAAAGCATGGCGGAGTCTGTGTGCCAGAAGAAGCCCATTAGATGGAGGTGCAGAACAAGGCTGGGCCTCTGCCCTGCTTCTCCTTTTCTGCAGAGGCAGGGCAGAAGTCCTCCATGAAGCCGGGTGTGTCTTCCCAATAAATCTCCCCCAAAGCTGGCTTTCTGAAAAGACCAGATTCCAGAGGTCCACCCTGGTCCCTCCCTCTCCTGCTCGGGAGCATTTTCCAGGGTGATTTGCGCCTCACAAGGAGCGTTCATCTTTGGGGAGACAGCTGCCTGGGCAGTGGCCTGATCAAAGCCCTGGTTAAAGGGGGGTCCCCCTTTACATCGCAGCTCAGCTGGCCACAAGAGGGCACCCCTAGAACTCCTTAGTGCCAAAGCAAGACAAAAACGTGGTGGTTATAGTTAAGTCGCTGGGCTCTTCAGACAGAATATCCCCCAAACACCTCTGCTGTGCAGTGGCGTGGGGCTCCACTCTTCCAGAACCAGAAAGAGACAATCCAGTCTTTGGCACAGTTCATGAGCATTAACACACACACACACACACACACACACACACACACACACACACTCACACACACACACATTCACACAGCTCACACATACACACTCTCACACACACTCATACACACACACACACACACACACACACTCTCTCACACACACACTCCACACACACACACACACACACACACACACACACACACACACCAATGGAACAAGGGGTTTGTTTGACTCCACTGATTCTGGGACTAGAAAATGGGGAAGGGTGCAGACAGTGCAGCCCTTATTTGAAATTCTCAGTGCGGCTGAAGGGTCGTCACTGACTGAAGCTGATAATGATGTGGGGGGAAGCCCAGAGACCCTGCGCAGCCTACTGACACGCTGGGCCGCAGAAGGCGCTGCAGAGGACACAGCTGCCACTAATTATTCTGACTCTAACGTTGACTCCCCGGTCACCAGCGGCGTGGGAAGAGAGAAACAGCCCCTCCTGCCATCGCTCAAAGACATTACAACTCCAGTCAGAGAGAGATGGTCACCAGGGCTTGGTCAGGAGCAGACTGTGACTCAGGAGGCAGCGAAGAGTCAGGCGTGAGAGAGCACGCCTGTGAGGCCAAGCCACAGGGCGGCAGGTCCCCTCCCCAGTGGCACGAGGCACCAGTGGGGCCACGTGCCAGGACCTGGAACAGATGTGTGATGACTGGAGGTTTGAGGCCAGCATGGGCTACACGGCAAGACTCTGTTGAGAGAGGAGGGGGGGTGCAGACAGTAAGGTAGGCGGGATCTGAGTCTGACAAAACAGGAAACAGAAGATGAGCAGCAGCCAGAGAGAGCTGTGGACAGCTGATTGAGGCCACAAATCTTTGTTTTTAAAGACTATGTGGGCTGGGCTGTAGCGGCTCTCGCCTTTAATCCCAGCTCAGGGGAGGCAGAGGCAGGTGAATCTCTGGTCTACGGAGCGAGTTCCAGGACGGCCAAGGCTACACAGAGAAACCGTCTAGAAAAACCAAATAAATGAATAAATAAGGCTATGTGACAGAAAGGGAGAAAGCAGGGGAGGCTAGCTAGATTATGCCACAATAACAAAAAAAATCCCACAAATTTCAACAGCCTCAGTGACATCCAACTCGTTAGCAGCGTCTCTCCGAGTTCCTCAGACACCCCGGTGGGTGTCATTGTCACTGTAACTTCAGCTTCCGGGACACGGAAGCGGAGGACTCCGAACTGTCTTCACGAAGCCTGGAGAGAACACTTCTGCAGGTAACTCAGCCAAGGTGCTGCCTGTGGCTCCACGCATGCGCAAGAGGGCCAGCGATGCTTTCCGTCTGTGTCCGGGAGCAGAGCTGGGTTTCAGGAGCAGCAACAACAGCGCCAGGCCCGGAACCTGGGGTCGGAGGCTTTGCAAAATGCCTAGTTTCTCCCTGCCAGTCCTTTGGGTCCAGCTAGTTCTTCCCTCCCTGAGGACTCACTCCGGGAGGTAAAGGAACAGGATTGTGAGCTGAGAAGGTGCCTGTCTCCTAAAAGATGGCCCACGGACTCACTCTTGCTCTTCTGCACCCCCACGTTGGTACACCCCACACCACCATCATCACCGTCATCAAAACAAAAGGAAATGGGAGCCAACTATGTCAGCTTTTATTGAAGTCACCGAGCTCAAAGGCAAAAACGAACAATAGGAGGAGAGCGGGCGGGAGGAGAGCCAGGAGAGCCTGCACACACGCCCAGGCCAGAGCTCCGGCTCAGAAACTGTACACCCAGGTGAACTGGGCTGGGATTCTCTCCCTCCCCTTAAAATACCAGGAGCAAAGGGGAGCGGCCCTTCCACTCCAGTTTAAAAACGGAAGCTGGATGTAGGTGTCCTGGACTTGGAGAAAGAGCTCTCGCCCGGGAACGACGGGTGGGTTTAAGGCCGGTGTGGAAGTGGGGCTCGGTCACTCAGGCCCGGTCTCCCTGTGTGGGAGGAAGATTCACACACAGAAGGGCGAGGAAAGGGGTTCCTTTTTAAGGGGGCTATTGTGCATTTGATTTCAGTTAGCAGCTTTCACTTAAACACTGCTCACTTATATAACGTCAAGGCCATCTTGGTCCTGTGGGCAGGGGAGACGCTTCAGACTGAGGATGGAGAGGATGGAAGGAACTGGAAGGCCCAAGCTGGAACTTCTTCCTTTCCTCTGGGATGGTTTACAGTGGGCCTTAGATGGAAACACTGTTCTCGATGAGTGGAGGGTCTAAGTAGGCATAGGGCAGTGCCAGGCTCTGATTTCGTTCCCTGATGTCCCTTGAGATCTGTGCCAGGCAGTTCTGGAAGGCTGCAATGCTTTGCCGTGGGGCCTCCTCTGTGAAGTGCTCATCTGGGTACGTGCCCAGAGGCCTCTGGGAGAAAACAGGTCGAGACATTAGGAAGAGGTTCAAGATGAGATAGGGCGAGTAATGAGGGTTCACACATCAACAAATACAGCCGAGATGTTATCTAGAGACATGAATCAGGTACCGCCACGGGGAACATGAGCCCTTCAAATCACACCAGCCCAGCAGTCACTGCAGCGGGATTCCGAATGAGAACGGGCCCCATAGGCTCACATGTTTGAATGTTTGCTCCCCAGCTGCTGGAACAGTTTTGGAAGGGTTTGGAGGCGTGGCCTTGTTTGGGGTGGGGTTTGAGGTTTCAAAAGCCCACACCATTCCTAGTTTCACAACACCTCAAGTTGCCTGGCATGGTGTTACACGCCTATAATGCCAGCACTCCAGGAGGCAGAGGCAGGCAGATCTCCGTGAGTTCGAGGCCAGCCTGGTCTACAACTCCAGTTCCAGGACAGCCAGGGCTACACAGAGAAACCTTGTCTCAAGAAGACAGAACATAAACAAACAAAGACATGTTTTAATTCCTTGAGGAAGGGTTCATTTGAAACAGCTTTTCTTAGTAATGGCTGTTTGCACTGATCACAGGCTTTTTCGGCCTACGATGGGCTAATTATGCCCAGTATGGATGGAACAAGCAATGTTGCTAAACCTCATAAGGTGAACCAGCCTTTCATTGCTAGACTAGGCTAGACCTCGTGGCACATGGCTGTTTACTGCGCAGTGCTTGCCTTTATTAGCTGATACGAGTTTGAGAACGTTGGCGCTGAGTAGAGGAGGGTATAATCTTGTTTTCCTGATAGCAGCTGCTTGTGAGGACTTTATGTGAGCCCTCATAACCACACAACAACCCTTAGGACAGGGCTCTCTTATCAGATATAGATAAGGAAATTGAGGCTTATCGTGGCCAAATTAGAGGGTCCGGAGGGTGCGGAGTGTGACCCGGGGACTGGAGCCCTCTAATGAGGTCCACCTCCCTGAGGTGACAGCCTCTGCTCGAGAATCCAGCTCCCATGATCCGGGAAGATTCCGCCCCTTCCTGTCCTCTCCACAACTTTGACAAAGGACCTGGGCGTGGTGGCGTGTCCTGAGCCTCAGATCCCAGACCTGAATGTGTGACTCTTTGGGACTGCCTACCTGCACCGACACCCCTAACCCTCATGTATGACTTTCAGCTGCTGTTTAGAAAATCACTGTTTTGTCCAGGTTTCCAAATTCAATTAAACTGTAAGCAGTGTAGTCTTACAACTTTGAACATTTTCTCTGTGAATCCCCCTTTCCCTTTCCCATCTCTAATGGGTATTTATGTT